TATTTTATTTTTATTTATTTAAAATTAGTAACCAAATACTGAGATGGTATATAAAAGATTATTTAAAATTCCAAAACAAATGTCCCTGTGGGTATTGTTTTTATAAAGAATAATATAATTAATTTAATTATATATATATAAAAGCAGTTTTTTTTTAAATGTGTATTGCGTTCATAAATTCCTTATATTTAAATAATAATTTTATTAGTGTGATTGATTGTTGACAGAAAACGGCTAAATAAATATATTAAAAAGAGCGCTGTTTTTTTTAAATAGCACTAAAAATATTAGTTAAAATTTCAAATATAGTTAAAGAATATGCAATTTTTTTTATATGTATAGAGAAGAGCATTATATAATAATAAAATCCCCTAAATGCACAATCAAATCCAAAATCTCACTGAATTGTTCATGTTCATTTTTTCTAAGTGTTAAATGTGTAAGAACTCAACATACTTTTTACTCAACATGGCTAATTTTATTCATATTAATATAAAATTAAATTAACAACTTAATATATATATATGTATATATATTTAGATATACATATATATATTTTATTACATATATGTGTATATGTTGTGTGTGTGTAATGTAAATGTGCATTATTTAATTATTAAAAAAAAAAAGAAAAGAATTGTTTAATTAAATTGTTTAAACAATTTACATAATTTTCAAAACTTTGAAGTATAAAAAGGTTTCCAAGTCTAAGGATAAAAACATAAAAAGAAAATTTGGTAGTAAAAAAGTTAAATATTTATTAAACTCTATATGATGAAAGTTTAAAAAATGTTTAACTTTTAATTGGTAAGTAAGTGAAAAAAAATTTTTTAATTATTTTAATTTTTTTAAATCAATTTTGCATGCATTTCGCAATAAACATTTAATTTATTTTTTATCTTATCTATAAGCTTAAATAAAATATATCAGTTTTATTTAGTTACGCCTATATATACGCTTAACAATTTTTAAAATAAAACATTTATTTTTATTTTTAAACATTTCATATTCTTTAATATTTATGAATTAAATATTTCAAATTCTAAAACTTAAAATCTCAAACAGCAATACAACTGCTTCCCAACTTATAATAAAAAAAGAATTATATACATATAATAAAGAATATTTATGTATAATAATATATAAACAAAAACAATTAATTTTTGCATAACTGAATGAGAAAATTTAATATATATTTTATTTTATTTAAAAAAGATAAAGTTATACGCAATACAGTATAAAATTTTTATTAAAATGCTATTTAAAACTTTCTGATATGATGATAAAGTGTATAATATTTCTATATTTATAATAATATTATTGTCCAAACAAAAATAAAAAAAACACATAATATGCAAAAATTAAAACATGAAAACTAAAACTAAATTTATGTTAAATTTATACAAATTCATAAAATAAAAAAATATGATTTGTATGAACATTTTTCATAAAAAAAAACAAGGAGGTGAAGATTGATGAATTATTTAAGTTTATTGAAATTACAGTTTCTTAATTAAAAAAAAAATTAATAAATAAACTAAAAACAGATTATTCCATTGTATATTTATTATTATTATAACAAGTTTTTTTGTTGGTATTGTCTCCAATAATCACCAGTAACCAGAAATTGACTTTGAAAAAAGGAGTTTCTATTATTTTTATTATCACACAATGGATTCAATGGTGCATTTATTTTAAATACACAATGAACCGTCCATTCTTTTCGGGGGCTTTAGCCTTTTAAGCCCACCCGCCTTGGCTACATGCCTGATAAGCTACACTTGATAGATCCGGTAGCATTATACTGTGTCGAAGACGTTAACAAAATGGATATGATAATTGATAATCGATATTTTTTTACTTAGTGATTTTTAAAGTTTTCGAATATGGTATATAGATTTCAGTTTAATTTTTTATGTATTATTTTTTTAATTGCCGCAAACTATTATAAAACTATCATAGTAGCTATGAGAATTACAAAGGTTTGGTTAGGTTATACTGGCGATCCTTAGGGGATCTACTTAGGCCTATTGTCTCATTGTATTACTGTATAGATGAAAATTCATTGTTTAAAACCACATAGAATCTATGGCGTAGCTTTAACTGCTATTAGTGGCTATTTAGTGTAATTGATCAAGATCCTCAAGAGAGGGGGCTTGTAAAATGTTGAGTCGCCGCCGTGCATGAGCTGGGCAAAAAGAGATTAAATGAGATACACTCTCAGCGTTTTTCCTACCACTGCGACTGGTATGACTAAAAGGGAGATTTAATCTTCTAGCATGGTTGCCGAGTTTGCAGTGACCAGTAAGTTAACCTACCATAGGATATATCTCTACGGGGCATGAGAAGTACATATAAATTTGAATTAAAAATTTTAATTTTATTATTAACTGTTTGGAGAAAAATGGAGAGAGACAAAGAAATGTTTTTTTGTTTATTTTCATATGTGAAAACGGCGGTTTATTATGCCGCTTTCAGTTTTATTATTTAGTTTATTATTTATTCATATAAAAGTAGTAATTTTAATTTTAATTAAAAATTCTTAATATAACAGTTGTAGTCATTCTGAAGTGATAATTAAGAATCTAAAATTTCCTGGATTTTTGTGAATTTAATTATTCGGTAATTGTAAGTAAGATTTTTGTCTCTTAAACTTTTTAAGTTTTTAAGGATAAAGAGTACGGTTTTAAATATACCACTTTATTTAAGCTCCTTTATTACCTCCAGCTAATATTGGAGCTGGTAATGATAACAAATTCAAATGAATTTTAGTCTTTAGTTACTTAATAACTAATTGAATCTTTTCCTGTTTGGTTAAACATATTATATTAAAGCGATTTCTGTAGTAGTGATATCCCTCTTGATTTTAGGTTGGTTCTTCATTTATGTAGATTTTTATGCCCTTTTTATGCGCTTTCATGATGAAGGCTAACGTAACTATAATAAACGCATGTTGTAATGTAATGACGATTTAGGAATGCTATCCTCTGATTAGAGGCGTTGTTTATGGATTTATATATAGTGCTAATCCAATTATGTACAATATATCTGCATTCATTATTTAAGTTTTTAATATGTACTTTTACGTATTTGTATTATTTTTTTTTTGAAATTTAATTTGTAAAGCATTTATTTGCAAATTTTATTAATTTTTACACTATATGAAATTAAATAGCATAAATAAAAAAGTAAAACGATAAATTAACGTAAATTATTTTATATATTTACTGAATTCTGTTTATTAACTCAGTTAAAGTAATAATAAGTTATAGTTTTTGTTTGCTTAATTTAAAAACTTCAGTTTTCAGCTAATAATTATATAAAATAATATAATAATAATATAATAATAATAATATAATAATAAATAATAATATAATTATAAAAATAATATTATACAGTACGTTTTTTTTATTATTACTGAGCTTAGGTCGTTAATCTAACACATAAAAATTAAAAATGCTTTTTTATATACAAATTACACTTATATATATGTGTTCAATATTTAATTGCATATCAATAATTAACAATAATTAATATTTGTATAATATTATAATATATAATAATAATATATTAATACTAGCTGACCCAGCGAACGTTGTTTCCCCTTGCAATTAATTTTCCTGGCGTTCGTTGCGTTGCTCTTGACTTTCATTAGTACGTGTGATTGTATCCTGGTTTCTTACATTTTCATTGTTTTTTGCCGATCTATTTAACCGACGGTTCTAGAGTAATTGTGAATTCCGACTCCGTCGACCAATATTTCCTCCTCGTCCACGAAGACGTGGCATTATTTTTTGTACGTTATTTATATCTTTATATATATAATTCTTTTTTTTTGATAATTTAGATTCACAATTTGGTCCACTGGATAACGGTTTTTTAATTATTATACAGTTTTTTGGTATCCATATACATTTATATTAGACATTCAATGCAACGGCAGTTTTACGATTCATTTTAAAGATTTTAAACTTTTTAAACAAATCAAAGTAAGCATGAATAAATTTTAAATTTCTAATATAAATGTGTATGGATACCAAAAACTAAAAAATTAATTAAAAAGACATTATCCAGTGGGCCAAATTGTGAATCTAAACCTTCCTTGAATCCACTTGAACACCCACAAAAAATTTCATCAAAATCGGTTCAGCCGTTTAGGAGGAGTTCACTGTCAACACACGTACAGAAGAATTATATATATAAGATAATTAATAATAATTAATATTAATATAAGTGTTATTTTTGTTTAAAGAAAAAACATTTTTAATTATTATGTGGTAAATTAAGCCCAGTAATAATAAAAAAAACGTATTGAATACTGATCGCAATACAATTTATTAATATTATACAGTTATATAAATACAATAAATATTATTTGTATTTATTTGTTACTAATATTATTATTAAAAATATTATTTTTTTATTTATAATAAATATCATAATATTTTTATAATTATCAAATGTTTATATATATTTTTGAGCTGTTTAATTGGTCAATTAGTAAAATAAAACGCAACTTTTTAAATAATTTTCCAAGAAATATATAAAAAAAATTACCATTAAAAAATGGAAGTTTTAATTTTTTGTAAATGACTTAATATAATATATATATAACCATTCAAACGTATTAATTTGCTATTTGTTATAGCTCATTATGCAATATATTGCACACAGATATTTTATTGCACAAAATTATTGTCAGTGTACTTATTGTGCCCAAACGAACAGAACCTCACAGCAGCTGAAAATGCCAGCTGTTTAATGTAAACAAAACGGGCTGAATTTTAGATGTGAAATTTGTTAAACAAAATAATGAAAATAATTGTTATATTTAATTGTCCATTTAAAATAAATAAATTAATTGCTAGTGCTTTAAATGGACATAATAATTATTAATTTGCTTTATATTTTCATTGATAAATAACCGGTTGTATATCCAGTGAAAATGTTTACGTATACTCTGCCAAGCACAACAAACGCACAGCTGTCAAAATTTTTGTATACTTTGCTGCAATCGATAAAGGTCACCTTGAAACGTCAAAGTGTGTCACCTTGGCGAGTACAGACACACAGTGAGTAGAGTTCTTCCAAATTAAATTTCGCAAAATTTGAGAAAAATTGCAAGAGTTTTTCATTAAAATAAAAACTCCAGCAGTTGGGTGCGTACACATATATCCAGTTACTGTCATAACTGAAAAATCTCTTGCGATCAGTACGCAACAAACATTTGCTTTGTTTGTTGGTAGCGAGCAGTGTGAGAAGTGTGTGTTAAATACTCAATACGTTATAACGGAGTCTTGTTTAAAATATTTTAAATCTATTTATTCATTATTAAGCATTATTGCTATTACTGTATTACTGTAAAAGTGTAGAAAGTGCTTTATAAAAATGCCGACTGAATTGAAGCAACGTTTTATTGAGCGCGGGTCTCATAAGGACAAAGGACTTGCAGTTTTCACCAGTGGTGGTGATTCACAGGGTATGAATGCCGCCGTACGTGCCTGTGTACGTATGGCCATTTATCTAGGATGCAAGGTAAGTTTTATTGCTTATTGCATATATGTATATATTATATTTTAATAAAATTAATGAATTTTTATATAATTTAAAATATAAGTGCTACAAGTTTTTTTTCATTTTTTCTTTTCTTTTTTGGTACTTGAAGAATTTTATTTGTTTTTTGATAAAGTTTTTTAAATGATTTATTTTTAACGAACCGTGACATTGAGTTTATTTTAGTGGTACACATTTTAGTTTCTTAAACGAATGAAAGCATTTCTTCACTCTTATCGTGTAATTAATAAAATATGTATGTATACACACCATGCTTCTACTATGTGCACACATACTTCACACAAATGTATATCAGGCATATAATCGGTATGCGGGGCTTGCTTTGTTGCGGCCGCCCAAGAAAGTGAAATTGTTTATTCGGTGTAATTGAGATGATAAGGCGCTTACAGCAGATTGTTTAATTAAAATCGATATAAATTTTATTTCAATAATCTGTTTAATAGGTTCAAGTGCAAGTCAAATTACATTGTTTATAGAATTTTATTGTTATTCTCACTTTTGAGTGGTTGTTGTATCAATTAATTGATAATAAAAATATTAAATAATTTTTATACAACTCTCATATTTTTAGCTAAAAAAAAATTTATTATTAGCTAATATACACATATATGGTATACTTACCATAATAATATCTCTTTTCGATAATAAATCTATTACACCTTAACGACTTATTATCAGGTGCTAGCATAGAAATTATTCTTATCGGTTCCCTATTTTATCGGTATATGAACTCATGAATAATTTCATGATGTAAATATGTATTATTACAATTTCTTTTTAAATTACATCATAGTTTCATATATTATTAACACAAGCGGACAATAGGCCTAAGTGGTGGATCATTCGGTTTATTGGCTATAACCTAACCATGTTGTTGTTGTTGTAACCCACAGAGATCTATCAAGCAAGTAACAAGAAATAAATTACAACGATGCACACATGGGTTAGGATGTGGGTAGGTGATGGTAGTGTTAAAATGAGGGAATTTGCTTAGGAGTAAGAAGGGATTGGGTACGGGTGGAATTTAAATTGAAGTTAACCAGTATCAAGGTAGAGACATTTTTTTGGTGATGAATTAGAATACGGGTAGGTGATGGTAGTGTGAGACGAGAAGAGATTGTTTAATATTAAAAATGTATTCGGTATGTGATCAATCTATAAAAGACAAAGATATAAGAAAGAAAGCATCAGGAAAAAGCTTTGTTCATATATAAGCAAGTTCTACGTAACGATCCTCGGAATATATGGGCAACTTATGGCATTGTTGGTGCAGTGCTTGTCCATAAAGGTTGTATTATTGAAGCAAGAGATATATTTGCACAAGTGCGAGAAGCTACTGCTGAGTTCTCTGACGTTTGGTTAAATATATTTTATATTGTCTTCTATATAAAAGTGAAATTTCTCTTTCTTACGTCGTCGTTATTGTTCTTACAATGTTCTAAAAATAAATAGACAAGACATTAACTTGAGTTCGGATTGGAAAAAAGAACTGACTGGTAATATATATGGGAAAAAAGGAAACAAAATTGGGTATTTGAATGGCAATTCGAATATAACACGCATAAATGTGAAAAATTATAGTCACCTCAGTTGGACGCAGTAATAAGTCAATGTTATGCAAATACCTGGAGTTGAGGCACACATTCTAGAAAGACGTGATAAGTAACTTTCTGACAGGTAGTTATAACCGGATTAAAATTGTTTAAATAGATGTCGTGTATAATGAAGAAGACTTGTCATATCCCTGGAAAAATACTTTTTATTTTCTTCCATTTTCTCAATAAAACAAGTTTTCTTTTGTATATAAAAACGATTCATTTTATCAGAAAACTAAGAGATCTATTTATTTAGTCATAGGGGTTTTTTTTATTTATAATTCCCATTGTGATGTTATATATCCATAAAAAGTATATTTTAAAAATATTTTTATTAGCAATAAATCAATTATTTAAGTAGGCTTTGTAATTGTTTAAAATGATAGTTCATTTTATTAAGAAAGGCCATGGAAAATTACATTCTAAATGGTTGAAACCGGTTTTACAATGTATTTTGTTATTTTGTTACTAGGCTAAAATATGAAGCTTAAAAATTGTTACTAAATTAAAACAAAATTTTTTTTTAAATTAAATTAAAACAATTTGAATTAACAAAATTTAATTAATTTAAAATAAATTAAATTACAACAATTTGAATTCAATAAATTTTAATTAATTTCAATAAAATTAAGTTAAAACAATTTAAATAAATTAAAACTATTTAATTCAAATAAAATTTAGTTTAATTAATTTAAAATAAATTGCATTATGTGTCCTTCGTCATGACTTTTAAAATTAAACGTATTATATTAAATTAAATATAATAATTAAATTAAATTATATTTCTAAAGATAACTTTGACAATTCAATTTATTATATTAGATTAAATTTATTATAAATTTAAATTATATTTCTTTTTTCATAATTCAGTTTAAACATTAAATTTATTATGTTAATTTAAATTTAAAATAAATAGAAAATAAAATAAAATTTTAAAATAAATGTAAATTCAATTTAAATTAATTAATTGAATTAAATTAATCTTAATGTCTAAATGACAATAAGATAACTTGTTTTTAAATTTAATAAATATGGTATATGGTATGTGGTCTTTGGATATAATTTGATATTTAAAAACTCTTTAAATAATTTTTTAGATTAATTTTTAATATTTTTTTAGTATCAGGAATTAAACATTAACAAAATTTGTTTATAATTTTGTACTTAATAATTATAATTATATTTATATTATATATTTATATTTATTTATATAATTATAATAGAACAGATATTAAGAATTCTTATATAATATAACTAACAACAAAAATATACATTATGCTTTTATATAAAATTATCATTAATACATTTTGCAATAATAAATTAATTATCTTAGAAGTGAAATTATTCAAATAAATGTTTTTTTAAAAATTATTTAATGAATTGGTATTAATAAATCCTATTTATCATGGCATATATACATATACGTTATTCTATTATTTTTTATCTTTTAATATAAAATTCATAATAAATATATACATATTTATTTATCATTATACATATATAAATATTTAAATTAGTTATTCATTTCCTCTTTATAACATTACTCATACATTTTTACTTTGAATCTATTTTACTCGTATGTCCATTAAAACTGGTGGAAAAATGATCGTATTTTTTTTATTTTTTGCGACGAATTTGTAATTAAATACAATTAGTAAACAATATATAAAAAAAATCATTGGACAATGCCTTTTTATAGTTTAGTTTTCGGTTTCTTTATTTGTATTAATTTAACCAATATATATTTTTTTATTATAATTTATTGTATTTATGTGCTTAATTTTTTATTTAGTTTGTATAGTTTATTTTTTATTACTTTTTTATTGGCAGGCGACATCTGCTTTTATATAAATTGAAGCAAAAGCAATTAAAATTTGATATCATGTTAATATATTAAAGTTTGTATATAGGTTTGTATTAGATTTATATGTATGTACATATATATACAAACATTTTTAAATAAAGGCCTGTGAAAAATCCTAGAAATATGGTGGCTTAACCACACATCAAATGCATAACTTATTCTCCAAACAAATCAGAAAGCTACTGTAACCGAAATAAAAATGCGAAAATGTAATTAGATAGGAATTGGATACTATCTGACGACCAAATAAATATATTCCACCACAAGCTTTCACAAAGTAGCGTAAATACACTGGTGTACCCGCTTTAACTTGAAGAAGGACAAAGAGAATGACAGAAGCGCACTACACATGGAACGATGTATGCACAGAAGCACCTAACAGAGTGCGGTTTAAGATAATATATGGTATATATATATTAATATATATAATATATATAATATAATATATATATATATATTATATATATATATATAAAAATGTTATACATACATAAACAGTTTGTTACATATTAATATGTTATAAAATTTCGTATATTATTATTTTATAATATTTGTTATAAAATTAACAAATTTGTATTGATATATTATATTATAGTAGAAAATTATCGATATCAGTAATATATTTATTAAATAAATATATAAATTAATATATATATATAAATAAATATATATATTTATTAAATAAATATAACTTTTATTTATATCATTTTTTAACAATTTATAGTTATAAATATAAAGTGCAATTTATTAAGGCAATTTCATAATTTATTTATACAATAAAAATACATTAATTATTATTTGAATTTTAATAAACTCTAAATGTTTAAATATATATATGAAGGATTAATAAAGCATTTTTTTAAAGTATTGTACTACATACAACTTCTTTAAAAAGCGTAAGCTAAAAAATATAAAATATTAAAAACAAAAATATTTAAAAATAATTTGTTTTTGCATTTAATTGAACTTATTTTAACATGTGAAATACCACCAAATGTTTAGCAACATGTGTCTAACATTCTAGAATTATGTTGCCAAATATTCTGCTATCAGAGAACGATTATTGATTCGATAAAAGTATTTAGACATTTATTAAATAAAATATTGAGGTTTTTATACTTTCAAAATTTAATTAAATTATAAAAAATAAAGTTGTATAATTTTATTTACTATAAATCTCATTATTATTATGCTTGCAAGAAAATATGGAGGGAAACTTAAACATTGGAAGAATTTGAAACATAGAAGAATTGTCTATCTTAATGTGGCATTTTTCTATGTTTGAGACATTTAGTTGCAAAAGTACTGTTAACATCGAAGTTACATATAGTGACTACATTAATATAGTAGAAATTCTTTAATATTTTAATTAGAATCTAAAGAACAAATCGAATAATACATTAATAGAGTAGAAATTCTTTAATATTTTAATTAGAATCTAAAGAACAAATCGAATAAAAAGTGTTAATAATTTTCACATGTCACTTAAAATTTACCGCATCGATCTTTACTGTTTCATTTGTTTATATTTAACTATTTATTAACTATAATTAACAGTTAATGTTTGTTAATATGAAAATTATTTACATATTTTAGCTATTATTTGACTATATTTTCAATATAGCTCACATATTATATACCTACATGTATTTATTTCTGTACACAATACTTTCAATTTAAAGTAAATTAAATTAGAATTGTTAAAAATATTTCTGAATTATTTAAATAATTAATTTAGATTTAATTTATACACATCTTTAAAGCATCTTTGTTGCAAATAAATTATGATTCTTATAACATAGAATTTCTATAAAATAGTTATAGATAGTTATATCAAGTTTAATAGTTATTTATTTAAATTATAATTCTCATTTATTTCAAATTAAAATTTCTATAAATACACAAATTCGGTTGAAACGTAAATGTATTGTTAATATATTGTTTTTTATTGTATATCGTTTTCTTGTCGTTATATGGATTAAAATCTATATAAGTAAAAAAATGCAATTTATGACAAATTATCATAAGAATGAATAATTAATTGTTATTTTATTAGCATTATTTGTTTATTATTTAAATAATGAAACGTTTTATCAGCATTGAACTTATTTTTTTTTTCGTAAACAAAACACAAGTATTTGTTATAAATTTTTATTTTCAATTTCAAATAAATTGGGGACATAATTAAATAATTTTTTTACGGGTCCCTTTTTTAACACACTAAGTGATATCTCCAGTATTAAAATTGGTCAGATTCTCGTCTCTCTAAATGCTTTTGGCTAGTTCTAGTTCGACCTTCTACCCACTATTACAAGGAATTGGTCAGATTCTCGTCTCTATAAATGCTTTTGGCTAGTTCTAGTTCGACCTTCTACCCACTATTACAAGTAATTGTGGATTTAAAACGGTTTTATTAGCTAATTGATGAGGAATCGTTTCTCCCTCCACTGCAACAAACTTCAACTTACTTTAAGCGCATATCTTCAATTAGCCTATAATGCTAATTTATTTGATTAGGTACTCAACTTTGTTGGTTAACTCTAGTTTCAATCAATTCGAATCAGTTTATGTGGTACCTAAACGCTAAGTTACTTGTTTTTAAAATAGTTTTATTCCGGTTTCTTAGCATTTGACTTTATCTGTTTATATAAAGTAACTTGACTTCATCTTTTTTGAATTGTTCAATAAATGCCTATAAATTTGTTTTATAAATGTAAGCTAATTTACATTAATTTGTTAATATAATAAACCAGTTTTATATTATAGTTAATGATAATAATGAATAATTTTAATTCTTTTAATTTCCAGGCTTACTTCATACGGGAAGGCTATCAAGGCATGGTCGATGGTGGAGACAATATTGTTGAAGCTAACTGGGCATCCGTGTCTTCAATTATTCATCGTGGTGGTACTGTTATTGGTTCTGCACGTTGTGCCGATTTCCGTGAACGTGCTGGCCGTCTAAAGGCAGCTTGCAATCTTATTCAAAGAGGAATTTCCAATTTAGTTGTGATTGGTGGTGATGGCTCACTTACTGGTGCTAATCTGTTTCGTCAGGAATGGTCCTCTTTGTTAGATGAACTTCTACAAACGGGAAAAATAACTCAAGAGCAAAGGCACAAATTCGATGTTTTGCATATTGTTGGCATGGTATTTACGCTATCTTATAATATATAATTAAAATAAATACTAAAACTGTATTTACTAAATAGGTTGGTTCAATCGATAATGATTTTTGTGGTACTGATATGACTATTGGTACTGATTCAGCTTTGCATCGTATTATTGAAGCTATTGATGCTATTGTTAGTACTGCTTATTCTCATCAACGTACATTTATTATGGAAGTGATGGGTCGTCATTGTGGGTAAGACTATGAATTAATAAGGTTCAAAATTGTGAAAAAAATGTATTAGTTTTATAAATTAGTGGCGGATTCATGTATTAAAGTGGTAATATAATGTAGTATTTTACTCTTAAAGTAAAATTGTGTAGTTTTAAAAGCTACACAAATATGAATTCGCCATTCATTGTGATATTCACCTTTAAAAATTGGCTAAAATGAAAATTTATATTTTGAAATTAATTGAATATGAGAATTTTTGGTTATCATAATGTTTCACTATCACTGCGTTTATTTTCATAATTTATCTGCAGTTACTTGCCTGTAGTCACCGGTATCGTTTCCGAAGCTGACTATGTATTTTGCCCTGAAGCACCTCCACCACTCGATTGGCCAGAAAAGCTATGCAATAAATTAATACAGGCAAGAATTTGTTGTATCTATTCTTTGTGACAATTGTTCTCGATATGTTCTCAAACATTTTTGGCACTACTACGCCACAAGTTTTCATATTTGTTTCATTTCAGCTCTCAAAATTTTATTTAATTTTTAAATAATCCAAATGATTCACGCACCTAAGCATAAAATTGCCTAATGAGTGCTAGTTTCCTTTAAAGTCTATTTTATTTAGCTAATTTATTTGTTTTTTTTTATTAAACTATAGTCTCATAACCATTGGCTAGATTTCATTTAAGTTGTATATCCAGGCTTAGAAATAATTAATTTATTTTCTATGAAAAGCATTACCTAAACATAAGTTTATACGATAATATGTGTATATTAAATGTGTGTAATTGTTAGGTGAATAAGGCATGTTTCAATATGTTGACCAAGTGTACATATATACATTATTTCTAAACAAACCAACAAATTTGTTATAATAATTTTTTTATGTTATGAAAGTAATTGTTTCTGTACTTATATGTATACTAAAAATGAAAAAAAATATTGCTATTAATTAGTTTTTTAAAGTCCAACTGTGAGTGCTTAAACAAAAATATTTTATTTTTACAGATACTTTTATCTTATATAGATAAATAAAAAATTTATAGGTGCAAGGATACAAAATACACAATTTAACTCAAACTAAATAATATAGTACATAAAATGTTTCTATATACTTTATTTTAAAGATTCATATTTTAGATTTAGTGCGCATATTATCTGAAGAAAGATAATATTTACCTTTGTATATATTATCGTCAATTTACCATATCTAAACTTAACGTTTTTTGTATCTTCTCATTACCTTTAGTAGGTTTTAAAGAAAGGATTGAATTTTTTCCATATGATTTCTTTGCCTTATTCTATGATTTGGATATTTTCCAATGCCAACAAAAATCTGAAATATTTTTTGTCTTCAACAGTTAAGTATCTTTATTTCTTAGCAAAAGTATCTTATTGAAAGCTCAATACTTTCGTGTTAGTTTTAATATTTATACATCTTAGCAAAAGTATCTTATTGAAACTCAAATATTTGTCATAGTTTGTAAAAAGTTATTAGCTTTAACTAACTATCAGAAGAATTTATGTTGATAAAGTTGTAGAATTTTTTATAGAGAAATTTGTTTTAAATTCATATAAAAATATTTAAATGATTAGATTTTAATAAATATTAAAAGCATCAATAAATCTAGCTAATTCGATAGCAACTAGGTAACCTAAAAGTTCCAAACAGCACTCTAAAGAAGATTTTTCAAACATCTCTGTTATGTCAGAAAGTATGGTATATATACTTGAGATACTCTACAATAAAAAAAAAAATACTTTGCAATAAAAAAGAGATACTTTGCAATAGAAAAAGTGATGCTGTACAATAAAAACAGATGTAGATTACTAGGTTCTTCCAGTGTAGATCAAATGAGGCGCACCGATCGAAAGAAAGTAAAGGCGATAGCTGTTTACTGTTAACAGTTCCATTATACCACAATTCACAATACGATAGCAAACAGAAAATGGAAACATCTTGCCATGAAAATTAAACATATGTGCTAGTATATATTATTTTGCTTACAGGTGATATTCTTTATGACCTAGTTTGAAAGAAACATAATGAATGACGTTGATAAAATGTATATAAAAAAAATATTGTGATGCAGTATACTCTAGATAATATAAACAATTAGTTCCAAAGATTGCTTATATCAACCGATAATGTAAAAAACGGTAGTTTATATTGTACGTATATATATTATATATATATGTACCTGTCATTCTTGCAAACGAACTTTGAAAAAACATACAAACATAACTCTATATTATTAGCTAAAGTAGTAAATTATTTGATAAAATATTAATAAACTTATAAAATAAATAGTAAATTAAATTATTATCAAGTAAAAAAGTTTTGAGGCAGCATTTTCTATGCTTTATATCTAAAGATTACAGTGACGATAAATGTTCCGACTACTACAAAGTCCGAATAACTAGGTGTTCGAATTATTTAGAGTATACTTTGCTTTGAAAAAATTTGGCTTTTTTGTTATAGTTCGAGTAGTTTCTCAGTACGTAGGGAAAGCGTGCTTGATTTGTTATACTTCCGAACAATTAAACGATGAAAAGTGCATAGTAGTGATTATGAGTAGCCCTGAGGTATAGACCAGTTTGTTTTTAAACTAAATTTAGTTACTTAGCTTTTGTTTTATATATATATTTGTTGTATGCAAGTGTTTCTTTCAAACTAGGCTTCAGAACTAAACAGTTTCTCTGCAGAGTATTTCCGATTCAAGCTACATACATACCTTACGGTATAAACCTTCGATTAAAGAAACGAGAAAAGAAATGTCCATAAGAGTAAGGTGCATTGTCGGAATAGATATAGAGTGCCAAAAAAAAAAAATCTACCTTGAAAAACGAACAGTCTTAAAATGCCTCAAAAGCTTTGCATTCTAATAACTTAGGTTATACATACATGAGTTTTTAGTCCACTACTTTTTGTGATGCTTCTATTTTTCTTTTAATTTCTGGTTAATTAAATTTTTTTCTGTTACTTATGTATTACAGTTTTATGGTGCTCAAACAGATCGATTGCATTCGAATTCGAGAATTTGGTTCGTATACTTCCAAATAATTGAAAACACTCGAACCACTTAAAGAAAATAAAATTAGGTATTTAGCTTCAAAGGATGATTGCAAGAAAACTATGCTTACTAGAAGAAAAATTCTTTTGTGAAAATTATTCGCCAAATTTAATTTATATATTGTCTCCAAGAACAGTTGGGTCTACGCCCTCGAACCAGTCTTCACCAGCGACACCCAAGTGACGTTTTATACCTCCCAAAGGCACTTCCTAAGATCCCAGGAATTTACAACTACTACTACTACTACTATATGGGAAGTTGAACAAAATATAAAAAGTTTTGAGATAAATGAGCTCTTTTGCAAAAATAATCGAAAACTGATCATACTATTGGAGACTCACAGGCCAAATATATATAGACGATGATATATGAAAACGAAAATATATATTACTTAAATTCTATGATGACATCACGCACACTGCGCTAACCCAAAACTCTCAAAAAATACGACATACAGGCAGACCTAAAATAACCTAGAGGAAAGCAATACTAAATGAAACTTGTAAATCGTTTAACTAATTAAGACAAATAGCACGAAATAGAAATTCTTGGAAAACTTTTGTTAAGTCCTTAAGCTTCGAATGGAGTTTGAAATAATAGAAAATCATATTTTTAAAAAAACTGTATAAAAAATGATTAGAGTATATTTTATTATTTTAATATATACTGTTGTATTTATATAAATTATTTTATATTAAATTGCCTAATTTTTTTATAATGCAATATTGGTTATGGTCAGCTTAGTTTTCGAACCCATTTAATTAGAACGATATTGTAGACATCATATGAAAGTATATCGAATGGACTAAAAACTGTTGTATCACTTAAGTTATTTACTTGAAAAGTTTTTGAGATATTACATCGTCTCTTGACTGAACATTTTTTCAAGTGAATATTTTTTTGGTATCCTCTCTATCTTTGTATCTTCTATATACTAAAAATGCACTTCCTTCCCTAACATGTTTGCTCTCACTTCTTTGACTGAGGTATAATTTTCCAAAATTATGTCGTATGAGTCGAAATTACTCTGTATAATTTATGAAAAATTTAACAAAAAATATTTAAACAAAACATTTTTTATTTAATTTTTTTTACTTAAAGGAATATGTCCCGTTTTAAAGTTGCCAATTTTTATATATGATTTGAATTGTTAAATTAAAAATGCTTGTTTTTTACAGTTATTTGGCTCTTGTAGCTGGTTTATCAAGTGAAGCTGATTATATTTTTATACCTGAAGCTCCACCTAAAACCGATTGGCCCGAAAGAATTTGTCAGCAATTAAGTCAGGCAAGAAGAAACGGAATTCACAAAATTTAAAAAAAAATTCATTATTTTAAATTGGTTATAGTAAAATATAATTTTATAATTAAGTGAGATTTTTTTTTTACATCATTGGCTGCCTTTTTTAAAATGTATTGTATTTGCTTTTATATGCTGACTTTAATTATTTTCAGTTTTTCAGCTGAAATCATCATTGAACACAAAAATCATCTTCGTCGCACTCAAGTTTACACAAAAATCGTCTATTCGCACTCATTTGTATGATCATTAAAAGATTACAAATATTCTGTAATACAGTGTTTTCGTATAATTGTGATATAGTGTTTCGATTTTCATATAGCCGTTAATAGGGATCCTATATATAAATATTTCTTTTACCAAATTACCCCAAAGGTAATATCTATATATGTATATGTTTTATATACCAGTATTGTGTATATTTGTATACGTTTTTAACATTCTTTTGTTTTGTTTCTAATTTTCTATCTATCGTTTCGTAATCTATCTATATACCTAGTGTTTATCTAAAATTTTTTTTGTATTTGGTAATCTAACGTACATATACTTTAGCTACATAGCAACTCTTCAACTGTGTGCTAATTTTCCACTTAAATGTTTTTAATGTTAAATATTTAATGTTTTTATAATTTTAGTTACTTAGGTATTGCAGCAGCTTTAGCCAGTGAGGCTGATTTTATGTTTATACCCGAATGTCCTGCCGCCATTAATTGGCCCGATAAGTTGTGCAAAAAACTACTGCAGGTCAGAATGCAGTCTCTCTTTACTTTAAAATAATTAATATTGTGCATTTATTTAAACGTTAATTTAAATATTTAATTATATAGAAAATCTAATTAACATATATTGAGCAATATAGTTGTTCTAAAGCTTATGGGTTATATATATTTAATTTTTTTCTTTATATTTGTATTTCAAAACACAAAAAAAAAAACAAAATTTATGGTTTCTAATGCTCTTTATCAGATCTCAAAGCAATTAACATAATTGGCAAATATTGTATGTAAATATGATTTCGATTTAATAATTAATAATTAAATATTTTTGGATTTATCTTGTTTCTTATATATATATAAAAAATTGGTGTCATAATGGTGTTGTAGTCATTTCATTTGATATTATTTTAGCTTTTCGATGCATGATAACACTTTATTTTTGATTTTGTAATTCTATAGTAAAAGTTCAAAAGTTATTAAAATTTTTAAATATATCGTAAGTCTATAAAATCGTACGATATATATTTGCTAAGTTTTAACGACTTATTGACAATAGGTGTATTCTGGAAAATCAGTTATAGAGCAACATTCATTTATTGATTTCATACATCTTTCAGAGCATATATTGTCTGTTGTCATTCATTGTATTCAATTATATATTTTCGCTTCTATATTTTCATTTTTATCATATGGTCTTATATACAAAGTATATACATAATAATAAATATATCATTTGTAATTTCTTACTCATTGTATAAAAATCATACACTTTATATACATATAAGTCATTCATATAGTTGTAATTATTTATATTTTTAGTTCTGTTGAAAATCATTGCTAAACGAGACATACATTAATTGGTTTAACATAAAACTCTCAGCTTACATTATTCTACAGATACACAATCTCATTTATGCAAATTTATTATTTCTCCATCTTTTTATGAAACTTTAAAACTTGAGTCGTTGTTTCATTTTTTGCAAGCATTTATAGAGTTCGAAATAGAGTAAAAACTGTAGAAATTATAAATATATTTTTAATAAAATGTTGTGGTATATACCTATGTTTTAAAAATGAGATTCATATGGGCAAACTAATACAATTTTATGCTTAAAATACATATTTTCAATCGAACTGATATATCCTTTAATACCCGAAAAACCAGTACTGCATTTCACTATAATTATTTTTTATATTTCCGATATCGAATGGATATTATATTAAATTTATATCAAAAAATTTTATTGAATTCAAACCTGGTTGAGTCTGAATGAAATTTTTTTCGAAAAAACAAAACAAATTTCTTTGATGTAGGATAGATAAGTATATAAATTAATATATACAAAATTATGTTTATCATATGTTAGAATATGTTAGGTCAAAGTGGTAGACTTGTATACCAAAGCTCACTTTAGCACAAATATTAACCTGTTGTAATATTACGGCTGAGACACAGACCACCTTAAAGGTAATAGTCCGAAAGGTCCAACATATGACGTTTCCATTGAAATTGTCGGGTGGTTATTTCCCATTTAAGTAAAAGGGAAACAGTGTTTAGTCTAAGTGCTAAGTGTTCAGTCTTGACTATGTTCTTAATTTTAAAGACTGACAGCTTTGTCCGGTCAGTGTAAAAAGGGGCTCCAAAGAATTTTATACTTTTCTTAGACAATAACACCACCTTCTACATGAGGTGGTGTATAGTTTTCTCCTCATCCGCAATTCCAATAAAAACTGTTAGAGTACAGATCAAATTTTATAATATGCCTTTGTGGTAGTGAGATATTGATCTATCAGCACCAATACCGTGAAATGCCGTATATAGCTATAGCTATAGGTTAAGTTTTATTTTGGCAGTCGGTCAAGTTGACCAACTCGCTTAGACACTGAGGTTCCATTGTGATATCTTCACTGTCCTTACTAATAAAACTTTTAGTAAAAACCCTAATAAAGTACAAAATGTGTTTAATTTCCTAATTAAAATTATACCCGCTCTACTAGTAACCAAAACTGGACATATACGGAAGAAGTATTTTACTGTTTCGTCTTCTTACTCTTTCACATAACTTTTATAGGATTCATGAGTGGGTACCTCTAGGTTGATGCCATGCTTGCCAAATAGTAAGATATCGGTTATACAAGTTATAATATTATAGATATTCACTTTAGGAGTTTCGGCTATATTTGGCTTTATTTGTCTAGATTCTTTATTTATTCGAGACCTGTTGGTCTCTTAAATGTATTTTTGGACTTTCGTCTGTGCCTAGTTTAAGATTAATTTACCATCTGGCTAATTAGTCTGATATTGCAGTTTGCTCTCATAGTCACCCGGAACCCATATCTAATATATCTTGAATACAATGCTGGTTTCATATAGAGCTGCCAGCTAGTACTGAGCAATAATTTTTTTCAAATAGTTTAAATGCCTCTCATTTACATTTATTATTATTAAG